GGCGGGCAGCTGCACTTGGGGGGCGGGCTTCCCTAATCCCTGAGGCGGAAGAGCCCGGTAGAGGCGCCCGCGCCGCCGGCACGAGCTTTCCCGGGCGCCCGGAGCGAGGAGCCCGCCCGCCCGCAAGACGCGCAGGTAGGGCCGTGCCCGCCCGCCTGCCTGCCCGCCTGCCCGCCCGCTGCGAGGGGTGCTCGGCTTCTGGCTCCTGGATGGCTGCGCCCCCCGCCGGGAATAGATAGGCCGCAGCAGTAGGAAGAGAAGAGAAGAGAAGAGAGTTGCCCGGGCACTCGCGGTTCTTGGGAAGGGGAAAAAGGAGTCAAATGCAAAACACACTGAGGCCCCGGTGACATTTCAGAAGGAAAAATACTTGGGAAACAGCACTGCCAGTGATGCAGTAGGCCGAGGTGTGAGACAGGTGCCACGCATCTGCAGCAGGTGAGAGAGAGCGCTTGGGTTGTGCACAAAAGCTCCAGTTGTTGGGAAAGTAGGTCTGAATGCTATAAATGCTCAGTCACAATCATAGGAAAGAGGGCAACACAAAGTCCTCTAGTCCTTGCCCCTGCTGGGGGCAGGATCATCCCTGACTAAACCCAGGCTTGGTGTCTGCGTAACCTGCTCTTGAAAACTTCCAAGGGTGGAGACTGCACAATATCTCTAGGTAACCTGGTGCGGTGCCTGACCACTTGCATAGCCAGGAAGTTCCTCCTAGTCTGTGGGGGGGAAGGGGTGTGGAGGGGGGCCCCATTGAGGCCCCCACAGCAAGGGAGGGAGTGGGGCTGGGATTGGACAGTTGCTGCCCAACCAGGGCAGAGTGGGTGGGCGGGGAACGGAGCTGTGGACAGCTTGTCTTGGGGGGGGAGGGGCTGGTCTCTCAGCTATGCACGTGCCCTTCACATTTGTGCACGCAGCAAGGGCAAGCTACCTGCTCAAGGCCAGAGGCAGTACCCACCTCTTCCCAGTGGGGGGACTGGGCCAGGCCTCTGGTCAGTGTAGGTGGGGCATGGTGGGCGGTGGGGGTGGCTGCAGCTTCTCTTGAGCATCGCCACCACCTGCCCCTCCCCGCCCCGAGCAAAGCCCCAGCCCAGCCCCCCACCAGGA